CCTGGTCAAGAACACAGAAAGTTATTCTACACCAGCTGTAAATTACAGCTGTGGGACTATTTCTGTCAGATGTTTGGCTCCCAGCGGAGACTATTTTCGAGGCAAGGGCGCGTTTTTTTTTTTCTTTCCTTTCTGTTGCACACCGGTCCAAATAAATCTCCGAAATTATAGCCCACATCCATATTTTCATGTAGCTTAAAATAAAGCTGAAAATCTATCTTCGAAATGAAGACTGAAAGTCTGTCAGTCAGTCTACATCTCACAGTCACTGGGAGGAAAAGAGCTTTGAAGCAGACTCTTCAGCACTGATGGAAACTGACAGAGAAATATATTTACAACCTCAAATCAGACAATGTTCAGACGGTATGAAAATGACAAATTTGGAAAAGCTCTTTATGTATTGACTTTGACTCTAATTTCATTGCAGAGATTATGGAAATACGGCCTTTCATTGGTGTTTCTTGTCGTCTTCAATTTATTTGTACCGACTTGAGTAATTCAGGGGCTGCAATTAAATATGAAATATGTCGACATTGTTTTTAAAAGTTCATTGTGATTCCATCAGTGTTCGCGAAAGACTTCAGTCTCGATCTGAAGGAAGAAAGAAAATCTTGAGGTCGTCAACAAACAGACGAGCAAACAATTTCTCTTAAAAATAAAAGTCAAGGGAAGGGTTTTCTTTCCACGTACAGTTCAACAGGAGTTTAAAAAGTCTGAAGCTGTGTGCTCCAAACCTCTGAACAAAGTGATCATCCAGTCTGATGTCTGCAACACTTACTAAAGACTGCCGTGGCACGGAGAGGCCCAAATACCCTCTGTAAACTCAGTTACAGGTAATACAAAGGGTTCAGATTTTAGAACCAGGGTCATATAATGGAAAAATTAAAGATTAGCATAAAAAAAGAGTGTATACGCATTATTTTCCCTCTGCTGTGGCACACTGCGCTAAATCAACCTATGTTTCATTTTGTTACCAAAATGTTATACTGCCGCAGTGTAACAGCTCACTGAACACGACTAAATTCAACATTTCCAGCAGGCAAAAAAATTATATGAGGGCAAAAAAGAATAAAAAAGAAACATTTTTATATCTATCTTACAAAGCATTCACATTCACATTCGAGAGAAAAAAAGGGCTAATGTTCCACGGGCATGACTGAACACTTTAAAATGTTGACCTCAGGTGTGATTGAGCTGTGGGCTGACCCAGCCCTGCTAATCCCGCTCTGATGAGAAGATGACCCACATCATGTCAGACCCATTCCCAACTCATCTGCTCCTTTGTGACAGCAGGATCAGGCCGCCTGCAGCCAAGGTGGGGCTCCGTCGAGGCTCGGACATCCCTCACAAAAACCACTGATTCAGCCGCTGATGCAACAACGGGCCCAAACCATCGGAGGCTCTGGGTATGGCGCGAAACGCTAATCGACGTATCACTAGACGGGATCTGAACAATTCAGGAAGCAGGGGAGTTTATTATAATCCGTAAAAAAGCAAGCAACCTTTCCACAGCTGTCACAGAACACTAACTTTACGTCTTTTTTTATTGCTGTCCAATTACCGGCTACCGCTATAGTATCTGAAAGTGTTTTTACAAGTTGTCAGAAAGCTGCTTTCCTAGCGGTTCGTCATCTCAGAGGGTCCCCAGCATTTTGCTCGATATATCCTCTGGCTTTTTCCGCCGCTCCCTACCTCTCACTCTACCCTCCTCCCGTCTCCACAGATGGGATTCACATTTGGCGTTTTTGGACATTTTCTTAATGCGATATTATGATACAGCATCTGAAGCCATTTACTCCCTGTCACCACCTCTAGTGTGGACCCAAGCTGAGTAAGCTGAGCAGGAGCTGTCAGATTTTGTCCAGGTGAGTTATGGCCATTTAATATGACACTGCCCGCTGTGGTGATCATTTACAATGCCTGAAAGTCTACTCAAAACACAAACTGTGCTTACGTGGGTCTTTTTGTCTCTTTCTCCAGGAGCCTGTTGGTGGTGTATAAGTTTTCACTCCCTCCTGCTGCTGGCCGTAAATCGCCTCTGTCGAAGGTGGGTGTGCGTGTGTGTGTGCTAAAAAGAACAGAAGGTGAAAAATTTTAAGGTCAGCCGAGGTCCTTCAGGTAATTGCACTTCTTAAACTTTTGACCCACTAAGCCCTACTTAGTGTGGAGCAGCTTGCTCCCCGTTTTTCCCCCCCGAGAGTTTTGACTCCGCATACCAGGACGTTGTGTGTGTCTACATGTGGGCGTTGTACTTGATCCAATGACTCTGTCAGCGTGTGCTGTAACCTCACACATCCAGTGTTATTCTTTTCCACCTTCTTGTTTAGTCAAGTGATGTAAAACACTAGTCTGGTAAAAAGCAGGGCCTAGTTCTACGCTTTATACGAAGGGTCTGGGCTCTCGGCTTTTGAGAAACGATGGCTTGCTGAAGGCGTGAAAGTTTAAAATTTTACCCTATTGATGACGATTACACTTTATGCCTGCAATGCGCCTGTTTGACGCTATGAAGCTTACCGGAAAGTTCTTTCACTTTAAACAACCATCGTCCACTACAAAGAAAGAAGTTCCGAGCTGAAAGAGGCAGCTGTTGACGTTAATTTGATATTTGGAGGTGTGGCCAGCATGGACTCAACGGCTTCCTTCAAACGTCTTCAGCTGTCATCGTTGAAATTGGGTAGATACCAAGAGTTAGCCTACGATTATAAAACAGTGCAGAAAACTTATGTCATCACTTACAACTTCGCCTTCTGTTCACTCATTGGCCTGGTTGAAATTGTACTGAAGGAATCCAAGTGAATTTGAGAAAGCCCAGATCAAAAAATGATGAGAAGAGATCTTACACAGTATGCAAGGAAATCAAAACTTGAATGTGCTTTTAAACCTTACCTAACCATTATTTATCATTTAAAACAACATACAAAACCAATCTCCTGTACAGTACTCTAGTGCATAGCAAAATTAAAGCTGCAGTAACTTTACAAAATATATGTTGTTTACATATTTATATAAAACTGCCACCATGGAAGATCTTAGCACTGTCAACCATTCTATGTATGTGTTGATAGCTCAACGTACTAAAGCCGTTGAAACAACTCGTCATTCCAGAAAAATCAGTGGCCATGCTAACATGCTTTAGCATTTAGGACAATCTCCGTTGTGGTGAATGAGCTGTAGCATTGCCGAAAGCAAGGGACAGGGTGTGAGCAGTGCGTTGATAAGCATGATTTGCAGCGCTAAGACCCTCCTCCTGGTCCTCCAGTTCTACAGGAAGCTCCTGTAGAACTGTAGGTTCTACAGTCGGATTTACAGTCACCTACAGTCTGCAGTCTGTAGAACCTCAGGGAGAAGGCAGAGGAGCCTCACTATATGTCTCATACTATATTGTCACAACATGGTGACAGTTTTAACAAATATGTTAAAGTTATAAAAGTTACATAATCAGCTTACCCTTTACACATATAGACATATATTTTTTTCCGCAAATACCACAAAACCCCTTTAACATTTAGTCCTAGTCATTCTCTGGCGACAGGCCCAGTCCACGCCTGGTCTTATGTATCCCACACTTAAGGTTTTTGGCCGGGTCGGACACTTCCAGCAGTGCGGAGTCTTCCTGATGAGAAAGGACTGTCAAGATGGATCTTTATGCCGTTGGTGAAAATGGTCCCTGAACTGCGGCGCAGCAAGCGGGGCGACTGATGAAATGCAGTGTAGCGCAATGATTTGGCAGCAGCCAAGCACACAGTCTCACAGAGGGTATGACTTTCAGAGTTTTATTAGCTTTCCATTGATCGTAGTCAGTCTATTTTACATTGCGGGCTGTTTTTATATTGAGTTTTGTAAGAGTGATTAATGTAGACGTTACCATTTAGATCCGACTGGAGGCCCCATTGCGATTGTTGCCATGTTCTACTGACATGCAGCCACTCGACTGTCATGTAACCGGACAGTTTATGAGGGAGGATCAGTGAAATGTTCTCTGGGTGGATTTGTTACTTGTGCAGCAAACTTGACTGATTTTCTTGCTGATGCTTAGTGTTTAGTCCTAATATTAAACTTCTGTCTTCTGGTAGCTCAGTGTAGTGCACAAAAGTATCATATCATTTATTGTGATAAATTTCTTATCATAAGATCTGCATTTATCATTACAACAATAAATTCCAAATAATGATGTTTGAATCCGCCTAAAGCTGTCTGTATTGTCAGGATTGTTAATTTTAGAATTTTTCTTCACTTTTTCTTTCTTTTTTTTTTTGCATGGTCGTTCTCATCTCCAAATATACGAGATTTGTATTTGTTGTTTTCCTTCTCGCTACGCGTTTCAGGATGCAGATGTTTTAAAATAAACAAATGACTTTTAACCTGTTGGGAGGGGGCAGGTAAAGCGTGGTGGCCCACCAGGTTTACAATACACTGGGAGAAACCCTGCAATAATACCACAAAATATTGTGATAAAACTTTAAGTCCATGTCGTCCATTCCTATTAAAAGATCACATCAAGTAAAGATTCTCCTCTTTGTCTGTTGAGGAAAGGGAGTGTGGAGGCTGTGTAAACTGGAAGGCCACACGGGTTTTCAAATAAACTGAATTCGCTTACAGTTTTATAACCCCTACCTCATAAAACTGGCTTCAGCTTTTGGTCCATCCTCCTTCCCCCCACGCCCTCCCAATAGGGGCGAGTGGGGCCGTCCAGGCCTGGAATTCCCATTTGCTGCTGTGGAGCGTGTCGGTGTGTCAGCTGTTGTGTTTGTGAGGTGGACAGCTGGGGGGTAAGATAGAGGAAGAGAAAGGGCGTATAATATATGATTGCTGTGTCACGATCCACATGTGACGGGCGTCCTCACGGCCAGAGCATCCAGCCTCGCTGCCTCCCTCCCTCCCTCTGCCGATCTCCCCGTCAGAGATGAAACGGGGGAGCGTGTGACTGTGGGACAGAGGAGAGGCGGAGGGAGGAGGTGAGAGGGAGACAGAGGGAGGAGAGAGTAACACTCAGACAATCCCCTGCGTGTTAGAGAGAGGTAGAAACAAGAGGAGCTGGCCAGGAACAATAGTAGAACAAATCCAGTGTTGCTTGCAAGATCTCTGCCTCTCAGCTGACTGCGACTGAAGGTAAGACCACCGGGACCTGATCATCCCACCTACAGCTCATCCTCTAGAGACTCATATCATCTCTTAGATGTCTGCATGGCTGCAAATGCAACAGTTTGAAGGACGACTCTACTTACTTTCCCCTGTCTTGTTCCATAGCTCAAGTGCACATTTGTCTTTAGTTTATGCCATTTTCTGCTCTGCATGGATGTATAATCTGATTGATGTGCTTAAGCAGGAAACATGTTTGCATTGGCACTGATGGATTCGCTAATCAGGTACTGACAGGCAAGCTGGAAGGGCAGGCGGGCTCATGTGGAGTGTGTGTGTGTGTCTACATGCGCACGCACGCATCTGGACGTACACGGCTATGTGTTTTACAGATCTGTTATGTCCTTGACTGTGATTGACTTGGCCTGTTGTTTTGGACCTGGAGGCTGCTGACTTATGGCAGTAGGAGACGCTGACAGACGCAGCAGACTCTGCGGTAGGTAGGCAGGAGGAGAGGACTACCACTTCCACTTGACCTCGTCGGAAAGGGAGAAGGTGTTCGGATAAAAAATGAAGTGCCCGTAAAAGATCGGCGGCTCACGAAAGACAACTCAAGCAAAGGGAATGGTGGGGAAAGGAAAGGTTGGCAAAGTCGGGGAAGGACGCAATAAATAGGAGAAACAGAATGAAACCGAGATGTGTGAGAGAGGTTAGAGAGAATGACGGCCAGACGGACCCAAGAGGCGAGCCAAAGAGATGGAGTGATGCAAGCATCCCTTTCCAACTTCCGGTGACACCAGATGAAAAACAGTTTTGCGGGCTCTGAAAAAAGGGGGTTTTAGAATCCTGGCCTTCGACTTCCAACCGCTTTAAAACCGTTAGGAGATGGGAAACGTGACCAAGGCGAGTAGGAGGTGTGTTTGAGACGGAGCAGCCAGGTGCGGAGAGACAGCAACTATCCGGCAAGAGGAGCAACACAGTTTTAGTTTTCATCTCTGAGTTCTTGTGTTTCGTGTTTTTGCAGATGCATGGAAACACACACACACACACTCTCTCTCTCTCCTCTCCCTGAGGCCCACTGTGCGTTTATTTATTTAGACAACAGTGAAGGTTCAATATTCTTTTCACAATGGCCCACCGCTGTGGAAATGTGCTTCTGACAAATGGTTGTTGTGGAGGAACCTCTAGACATCCAAAGGAACCTCAGTGCCACAATGGCTGATCTACCGAGCTGGAGTACCCGGGTCCGATCCGGCAAAGCTAAAAGACCCAGCTCCACTTTGCATTCGCTTCACCTCAGGCTTGAAACCAGGAGAGGTTTGATCCGGTTCAAGCACTGCAGTCCCTTTTTTTCTTCTATCTGAAGAGCAGTTACATGTTGAGGTACAAATGGGTCAACATGAGATTCTCATAACCTCCAGTAAATATTTCATTATCTTTTATTGTGCTAGCACAGTAAATTATATTTATAGATAAAATAGATTTTTTTTATTTTATCTAGAAGAAAAAAATCTGTTATCCTCACTGCTTCAAAAATAGGATATTGATAATTAGGAAAATCCTGGCATCTGTTATTCTACTGTTGATAGATGCATTTAAAAAGTTACTCAAGACGTAAGTTATGATATTGGCTGAAACCAGAAGGATGTTTGACTTTCGTTTGGTTTAAAAAGTGGAAGGTGGTGGAACATATAAGAAAAGACAGAAAACAAAGCATGTTTTGTTAGTCAGACTATCTGCTCTGGTAGCCGGTCAGTGGTAGGCTAGCATGCTGCGCATAGGTTACTCAGTTTTTCATTAACAAGAGAGAACAAATTTAGTTTCCATTCCTTGACTTTCGGAGCAGCCAATGTTGTCTTTCATTTAAGGAAGGTAAATTACCAAATGTTTCTGCGCAGAAACATTTGAGGGAGGTTCTAGCAACTGTTCTGCTGCTGGAGGAAAATGTGGTCGGTACAGTGGACTCCTTCCTTTTCACAGTTTCAGTGTTCGTGTATTCACCTATCGCTCAACTATCTGACAGAAAGTGCATTTTGGGAAGCTGGAATGACATAGACAATGGTTCTTGGCACACTGCTGGTGTTTGCAAAGCGGCCAATCCAGGAGCGCCATTTATTTTTCTTGGCAGTGATTGGCTAAAGCACCATGAGCGAGATAAGAAAGACTGTTCATTTTACCCTCGGCGGTACTGCTCAGAAAGTTTCCACTGTGACATTAATACATATATCTCAATATATTTAGCACTGAAACTATTAAAATAGGCAGTTATGAGGGTCCTCATAATGCAAGTATTTGTGGATTTTAGTTATTTGCAGGACAGAGAGAATGCCACTGTACAACTTTGTCTCTGGTATCTAAATATAAGTTGGATATCTTCATAGAACATTCAAAACAGCCATGTGTCAAAAGAGAAACCTTTATTTAAAGTCCCTTATAAAAGCAATCTACTGACCTAAGAGATGACTTCATCATAAAGGAATATTCCCCCTATGCTGTTAGTCAGTCTTTCACAAACTGGGAAACTCAACCGTCATGAAGTCACATTTAATAATAGCTGTGCTGACTGTGAGGCTGCTAATAATAAATTGCCAACTATGTCTCAATTAAATATTCAAAATGTCAAGATGTCTGTTTTATTTATGTCTCCAAATGACAACATAATTAGATATTTGAAATGGAGTGAAAAATATGTTTTTTAAATTGTATTTTGAATGTTTGGAAGCAGTATTCAAACCCACATCACAAAAACACAAAATCTTACCAAGTGTTTTTGATCTAGTTTGTAGACCAAATATCTCAGTACACTTGAAATAAAACAAAATAAATTTATAAGTGCATTTTCAGAGCAGTGTAGGAGCTTGTTTTAAGTCAGCAATTCCTTAAACACAAATAATAATAATAAAAAAATGAGTTCCTCTGAGAGATAATTTCACTTATAACAACATATTTTCCAATAGTTTTTAGAGAAATAAACTACCTCTTCCCCCCATGTTGATGAGTTGAGTTTTTGTTGTGGGAAACATTTAATGAGGGACTATATAAGGTTGAGTTAAAAACTTTTCATCTCTCCTCAGGCCTAAAGCTTCACCTTTGCTTGCAGAAACAAGTGAGGGCAGGTTTCCCAATACGCCGCGTAACTTTGTACGAGCTGATCAGTTTGGCACCTCAATAAAACGACTTTAGCACTTTTAAAAACACACGTTTACACCGTAAACCAGCCCTCACTGTGTGGTGCGTCCAGTAAACTATTAGGACATCGCGTTTACTGCAAAGCATCTGCACCAAAAGCGGCACCCCCCACAGTTCTCCTGCCGCCCGCTGCAGCGGCCTGGGGAGAGACAGAAATCTGCAAACGCTCATGCAGACGTGTCCTCTGTGCCACCAAAGTTTCTGAGAAGCCTTAAGTGCAAAGCTAACACAAGCTGAGCCCTGGCTCGCACGGCCGCCTGTCATTGGCTGTAGCATGCGCTCAAATCCACACTGTTTGTCTTATCTTTACAGAAGGGGATATATTTAGTGAGGAGCTTAGCTTTTAGGAGGTTGGCGCGTGGAGAGGGTGAGGGTGTGTGTATGTGTTAGAGAGAGGAAGTATAGATGCGTGTGTGTTGGCGTCAGTAGACAGTGGAAGAGCTTGGCACGCCGCATGCCAAACTGTGTGTGTGTATGTGTGTGTTTGTGCATACACTGTGTGTGTTTGGAGGACAGGTCTCTACCCACCCTCCCATCCTCACCCCCATCTCTCTCCGCCTCTACCCGCTGCACTGCAGTCAGGAATCTGCCCTTTAGTTTATTAAAAGCTGGTGAAACAATGGAGGGGGTGAGACTGGGGATGAGGGCAGGTGGGGAGGTGAGCAGAAAATCATGACGTAAACTCTGGGCGCTCCAGCCAATGGGAGACGAGCGATGTGACAGAGATGAAAGGGAGACATGGAGGAGCTCCGAAACGCAGCACTCTCCCTAATCTACCTGCAACTCCACTCTGACTTCATCTTCTTCTTCATCTTCCAGTGCCCTTTCACACACCTGTTCTCTCAGCCCGACTGCCGGGGCTCCATAACTGAGCCCCTCCCACCCCACCCCCTCCACAGACAGCCCTGTCCCTGGACACCAGCCACAGCTGCCGGCTGACCGAATGACACTACGGCGCGGATCCGTAGGAAGGTCTAGCTTCTCCACCAGGTCACTGGCATCTGAGTGGAGTTGCACAATAGTAGTCTTCCCTTCCCATGAGCTAGGTGGGCAGAGGATATTTATGCTAGCATCCCACCGGGGAAAACAACGCATTTCACAAGAACGTAGAAACTTTACACATGTGGCTTGCACAGTTAGGAGGCGCGATGGTACTTTTGAGATGAGTTTTATGACTAATCTACTGCTTGAGTCTTCATTAATGTAAAAACATCAGAACAGTGATGAATATTCACAGTGAGCAAGATAATCAGATGAAATCATTAACTCCTCATACTTGTTGTCTGCTGGCTGAGCCGTCTCAGCATCTTCTTCTGAGTGGTGGTTGGGAGGAGGGAAGAGTTTCCTGATAGAGACAACTTGAAACAACCTGGACTTGCCAGTTAACCTAACAAGGCTTCAGTAGCCTGGTAAAAAAAAAACAGCCTGTTCTTCCACGGTTCGTTGTTGAGAAGCTATAGCTTCCTGGTGCCATGGATTCTGTTTCACATTTTACCCAGTCTTTAACTTTTGGTCGTGACATGCGTAGCGCGTAAGTTTGACGCTGTGAACCCAACCAGAAAGTGTCTGTGTTGTAAACAGACGTCCTCCACTGCGAAGAGAGAAGTGCTGAGTCGAACCATGTGGCGTTCGATGTTAATTCAATGTTTGAAAGTGTGGCCAACACAGACTGAACGCCTTTCTTCACTTCCTCCGCTACCATTGCTAAAACTGTAGCCAGACCATAATTCTAAAACAGTGCAGAAAATCATCATCATTGTTCACAGCTTCTCCTTCTGTTCCCTGATTGGCCTGATTGAGTCAGTGCTTTGGGTCTGGTTTCTACCAAACCTTGAGCTGCT